AGGCGGGTCTCGGACCCGTGGGCTCAGGCAATCCATTCACCTCAGCCTCCCAAAGGTGCGGGATTACAGGCTGAGCCACTGAGCCCGGTTGATGAAGCACTTTGAAGTCTGCTCTTTTCCTGCTTTCCAGGAAAGGCAAAAACCAAACAAGAAAATCCCCTCAGTGTGCCTGCCCACCAGACACCCAATCTTGCAAGACTGTCATTAAAATTTCACTTCTGCGCAAAAAAAAAAAAAAAAATCCCCTTACTTTACGAAATGCCAGCTATTTTCTACTTACTGAAAGATTAGAAAGGTACTCGGCAGTCTTTCACTTCCAAGGTCATTGATGTGATGATGTGCTTCCTAGCATGTTTGGCTTTTTATTTTTCCTGTGGCTTCAGTTTTCTTTTCTTTGAGATGGAGTCTCACTCTGTTGCCCAGGCTGGAGTGCAACGGCACGCTCATGGCCACCGAAGCCTTGACCTGCTAGGCTTCGGCAATCCTTCCACCTCAGCCTTCCAAGTAGCTGGAACTACAGGCATGCACCACCACCCCCAGCTAATTTTTTATTTATTTATTGTAGAGATGTGGTCTCACCAGGTTGCCCGGGCTGGTCTCGAACCCGTGGATTTAGGTGATCCTCTTACCTTGGCCTCCCTAAGTACTGGGATTATAGGCATGAGCCACCGTGCCCGTCCCGGCTTCAGTTTTCTGATTTACCACAGCTACCAGCCAGAGATACTGAGTGTCTGTGAAGCATCATGCCTATTACCCGATCTATCCAGGAGAATTTTAAGACCAAATTTGTTCTTCCACCAGGGTGACCACACAGAAATTAAATTCTGAGAATTAAGGGAAGCTTTTGAAAACAGGAACCCAAGTCCAAGTAGTGGTGTTTTGAGGACCGTATAGGTATACCTAGGACAACTCAGATCGTGAAACCCTTGTACTAAAAATGGAGAATAATGACACTCTTTCACATGAAGGGAAAAAGTGACGCATCCTTCCAATATGATGCTCAGATAGTCGTCTTGACTCAGTTTCCTCTCACAACAGTGCACGAATGGGGCAGATAACAGGATGGAGAGGCCAGGGGTGAGGCTCACGTCTGTCATCCCGGCACTTTGGGAGGCAGTTTTGAGAGGATTGCCAGAGTTCAGGGGTTCCAGACCAGCCTCGGCAACTTGGCGAGTCCTCATCTCTACAATAAATCCAAAAATTAACCGGGCGTGGTGGCACGTGCCTGTGGTTCCAGCTACTTGAAGGCTGAGACAGAAGGATCGCCTGAGCCCAGTCGGTGGAGGCTGTGGTGGCTGTGAGTGTGCCACTGCACTCCAGCCTGGATGACAAGTGAGACTCTGATGCAAAACAAAAAAACCCCCAAAAAAACAGGATGGAGAGACATTGAGAGCAGGCCGAGGGACTGAGTCTGAGGTCTTGTTTTTCATGTAAGCATTCTTCTTTGCTGGTTGAGAGAGAACAATCCCCGTGGGAAGAGCAGAGCAGCCAAGAGAAAATGGAACAGCTGAGAAGGAATGGAAACGATGCTATTGCTTCACCAGGCAGAGCCAAGAGGGAGGGCAGCCAGGGAAGGGGGTCAGAGGCTGTCCGTGGAATGGCTCGCCTTGCTTGCACGCCGATGCCCGCTCAGTGGGCCAGGAACAACTGTCGTGGCCAACCCAGCCGGGGCTTGCCGGAGTCCCCCGCAGGGAGTCGGCCTGACCTGTGTAAAAAGGGGCTGCGTGACAGGAACACGGGCACACAGGAGGGATCTTCACTTCTCCTTGGTTGTCGCGGGAAGTGAGAGTCACAAGAAACACAAATGTAGACTCTGAGAACTCTAAAGTCCTAGTGATCGGCGAAGCTCGGCTTTGATGGTGATTAAAAATACAAAGTGGAGCCGGGCTTGGTGGCTCAGTCTGTCATCCTGCGCCTTTGGGAGGCTGAGGTGAGTGGATTGCCTGAGTCCGTGGGTTCGAGACCC